ATGTATATATTAATATACTTTTCTTGCATTACATATTATGTGGTATGAATTTATATGATATGTGTTATATGGCAATGATTTATGTATTATAAGAAAATGTTATATGAGTTATATGAACATGAGATATATGAAAGAGAAGGTATATGTCATATGAAATATTATATAACTATGTGATTATATGAAAAAGAATACAATTATATGTGATAAGCTCTGTGATATGTGAATCATATGAAAATGTTCTACGCGTAAGTGAACCATGTGTTTATATGTATATGTGATATGTGATTTATATGACAATGAGCTATGTGAAAGAACTATGTGACTATGTGTATATGTGAAGGTATGCTAACATAAATATTAATGCCCATGTTATGTGACATGAGAGCTAGAGGTATAGTTGGCATGCCAAGAGTCGAGGGTCTACGTGGTCCTTCGGGACATATATGTATTCTTTGGAACATGTGTGAGGTCTTTTGAGACTCATACTTGATCCTTGACATATGTATATGATTCTTAAGGAATTTTATACGTGGTCCTTATGGACAACCTTATATGGAACTTCGGTGCAATTCTACGTGGCACTACGGTACAATTCTACGTGGCACTTCGGTGCATTTATACGAGCTGTGGTGACAGCATTAGTGCACAACCTCTATAGACTCACATATCTATAGTTCTCACATGTGTACATGGGCTAATAAAGAGATAATTGAGAAAACGATGTATGTAATATATGTATATGATGTGTGATATGAATTGTATGACAAGATATATGTGTGATATGGGTGATTGCATCTGTTACATGATATACATAAATATATGTTGATGTATATGTGAATGAGTATAAATGACTTAGATGATGATATAAGAATTTGTTATAAGATATAGAATATGAACGTAAGAGATCATATGAACAAGAAATAAGAGATATGAAGTATAAGAGTATAAGAGTGATAAAAACATAAATGATGACATGTATGTGTACAAGTATGTAATTGTTATATGGAAAAAGTATATGAGTTGTATGATTTGATAGCGTAAAACAGTCATGCATGATTAGTGGATATAAATTTCATTAGATGTGTTTTTTTATACCTCGCTAAGTCATCGACTTAGCGTGTGAGTGTTTCACACGCAGGTTACAGAAAGTGAATATAGAAGCTAAGAGGAGCAAGACAGGTCAGTATTTTTCTTACAAAGTTCATATCAGAAAATAAACGTTTGATATGTATTTTATTCTTTTAGATGTAGTTGGCATGTCATATAAACGATTTGAATTGTATATGTTCTGATAAGTGTGAAAACTTTTATTTTGAAATAATAGGAAGTTTTCTTTAACATGGATTTTTTATTATTTTGAACAAGTAAAGGTTTAAAAGTTGATGTGATACCTCGGACTCGGATCCGGGTTGGATACGGGTTGGGGGTGTTACAGGGATTTATCATGTTGTTTTAATGGGTTTACTACAATCTCAAAGTGAACAAATCTGTATAACAGAAATTATCGTGAAAGTAATTGTGATTATTGATTTTTTTCAAAGTATTAATTTGTTCGATAAAAAAATCTAAAATAAATAAAAACTTATTAATTTTTGTTTATTGGAATTATTTCTATTTCTAGTTTTGTTTCTTTTACAGAAAATGGAGACAAGAAACTCCATTGGTTTATCTAACTTGGATGCTAAGATGGTGGTACCGATTCAGAATTCAAAACTGAATGCGAGTTAATGGATAGTGCAGTCAACCACAATGAGAAGCCGACGAAATTCTGCGGAAAGAATTTCAAGATTATGTAACAAAAGATGATTTTCTATTTGACTACAATGAACCTTTCAAGGTTCTTGAAAAAAGATCCCCATGTTCTTAAAGGAGAAGAAGGGGTAGACAATGTAATTGCTTTTAAAATTGTTGAAGTTTGGAAGAACTCAGATTATATATATCGGAATGTAGTTTTGAATTGTCTGCAAGATTCATTAAATCATGTATATGTTGATTATGAAATAACAAAGAAATTTTGGGAGGCATTAAACCAAAAATACAAAGCTGAAGATGTTGGAGGTAAAAAAATTTTAGTTCCCAAGTTATTGAATTTTCCTATGGGTGACTCTAAAACAAGTGAAGGAATTCCAACTACTGATAAATGGAATTCCTGTCGAAAAAATGGTCATAGGAGAATCCTTTCAAGTAGTCTCCATTATTGAGAAATTACCTCCTAGATGGGGTAACTTCAAGAATTATCTAAAACACAAAAGAATGGAAATGACCATGGAAGAAATGGTTGTCAGACTTTAGATAAAAGAAGACAACATGATTAATGCCAAAAATCTCAACAAAAAAGAGGCTAAGGAAAATGTCATGAAAGTCAATGACTTTAAAAAGGGAAAGTAACCCAAAAAAGAGACCTAAAGGTGAAATTTCAAGAAGGAGAAATTCCAAGGGAACTGTTTTAACTGTGGAAAAATGGGGCACAAATCCTCTGAATGCATACATCTAAAGAAAGCCAAAGCTCACGAGGCTAATACTGTGGAAAAAATAGCAAATGATGTGGAGGATATAGATCTATGTGTTGTGATCTCTTAAGACAACCTGATTGACTCTAATCCAAGAGAATGGTGGCTCGATACTAGAGTTACGTGTTATATCTGTTGCAATAAGGACTCATTTTCTGAATTAACACCTTGTAACGATGGGGAGAATCTCTACATGGGTAATGTTGCGACTTTCAAAATCAAAAGAAATGATATTTTAGTCTTGAAAATGACTTTTGGAAAAGAACTCAAGCTACAAAATGTGTTGTATATACCTGACATATAGAAAAACCTTGTTTTTGGAACACTTCTAAGTGTTCACGGCTTTAGAATGATGTTTGAATCCCAAAAGCTGATTTTGTCTAAAGAGGGGATGTTTGTAGATAGAGGATATGTATTGAATGATATGTGGAAACTCTATGTTATCTTTGTAAAAGCCAAAAACATGAATAAGAAAAATGTTTCTTCTTCTATTTATATGCTTGAGTCATTTAATTTATGACATGGTAGACTTGGACATGTTAATTATGATGCTTTACGAAGATTAATTAACTTAGAACACATTCTGTCGTTTCATATTAATTATAATCATAAATGTGAAACATGTGTTGAGGCAAAATTTACAAGGTTGTCTTTTCAAACTGTTGAAAAAAATACTTAACCACTTGATTTAATTCACAGTGACGTCTATGACTTGAAATTTGTTCAAACGAGATGAGGGAATAAATATTTTATTACTTTTATTGATGATATCACAAAGTATTGCTATGTATATTTTCTTAAGAGCAAAGATGAAACTAAAGAGAAATTTATACTTTATAAGCAGGAAGTCAAAAACCAACTTAATAAAAAGATTAAGATGATAAAAAATGACCGTGGTGGTGAATATGTTGAATTGTTCAATGAATTTTGTTCACAACATGGTATTATTCACGAAGTAACACCACAATATTCTCCTCAATCAAATGGAGTAACCAATCGGAAAAATCAGACTCTAAAAGAAATGATGAATGCCTTGTTAGGCAGTTCTGGGTTATCATAGAACATGTGGGGGGAAGTTGTTCTTTCATCTAATTACTTTTTAAATGTGGGGGGAAAAGACAAGACACCGTACAAATTATGGAAATGTTGGAAACCTTCCTGCAAACATTTGAAAATGTGATGGTGTCTTGCTAAGGTAATGGTCTCATTACCAAAGCAAATGAAAATAGGTTCTAAAACTGTGGATTGTATTTTCATAGGCTATGCAGAACATAACATTGCGTATCAATTTCTTGTGTATGAGTCAAAGATTCCTGAGATTCACAAGAACACGATAATGGAATCAAAGAATGCATCATTCTTTGAAAATATTTTCCCTTATAAATTTAAGGAAGTTGATCAAAGTTCAATAAAATGAACTTTAGAGACTAATAATGAGGGTCAACAATAGGCTAAAACTGAAATAGAGCAAACAATGAGTAAACGAGCAATGGTTGAAAAATCCTTTGGACCAGACTTCCTAATCTTTATGTTGGAGGTTGAACCTCAAACATATAGTGAAGTTATATGATCCTCTGAAGGAACCTTATGGAATAAAGATATTAAGAGCGAAATAGATTTCATCATGTAGAACCACACGTGAGAATTAGTGGATTTTCCTCTGGGAATTAAACCACTAAATTCTAAATGAATTTTCAAATGAAAAATAAAAGCAGATGGAACAATTGATACTACAGACGATATATTTTGAACTTAATGATAATATTACGAATTAGATCTATAAAATAAGAATTTTTTTTGTCTGGATATAAAATATAAATAAAAAACTTGATAATATGCATTAGCTAGTCAATCTCGTGCTACATCATTTTCGAGAATGAAACTCTAAGCCTCATGTGGAACAAAATATTTAAAGTCAAATAAAGTTTATACGAATTTGAAAATGATGTCATAACTTGATAAATAATATATTAAGTATATATTAAATATTATCTATTCAGTTTCGCTTGCAGCAGCCTACTTGCTTTCTAGATAGACTGCAATCCCTTCCCGCATAATTTGTCTGTATTTATATTATATTATATTTTTCTTTTCCCATTTATGAGTCATGACAACTACATAAAAAGAATAAAAAAATTCTTATAAGACATTTTTTTTTTGATAAAACGAAAATTAAAAAAAATTGTCTAATTCAATAAAATAACTATAATCAATTATATAAAAATTCGAGAAAACTAATAACAATATTGGATATAGATCAAATTAAAGATTAAAATAAAATAAGTCATCAATGGGACATTTACTAAGAAATAGTACTAGGACGCCATTTTTGACCAAAACAAAATCAATGAAAAATAATAGTAACATTAATGGAAATAAATGCAAATAAAAATTGAAATAAATAAAGTTCCCATTTCCCAAGCTTGAAGACGAGCCTATAAATAGCATGTTTAGTTGTGATATCTTCCCACAGCTCAATCGTCCATCTTGTCTCTTGTTTCTAGCTAAAAAAAGGACCCTTCAAAGTCGCAATTAATTTAGAAGAATGGGTGTTGTGAGTTATGAGTTTGAGACTACCTCTCCAATCTCCGCAGCCAGGCTTTTCAAAGCCATTACTTTTGAAGCCGACAAGCTTTTCCCCAAGGCTGCCCCTCATGCAGTCAAGAGTGTTGAACTCCAGGGTAACGGTGGCCCTGGAACTCTTGTCAAGATCAACTTTGCTGAAGGTTACTTGTTTAATTCTCACTTTGATTTTTCGAATTATGTGTTGGATGTGAATAAACTTAACTTTATTTGCATATATAGGCGTTCCATTCCAGTATGTGAAGCACCATATTGATGCAGTTGACGAAGCCAATTTGACCTACAGTTACAGTGTGATCGAAGGTGGGCCTTTGGGAGACAAGCTTGTTGAACTTTCAAGATAGCTGAGCTATCAAAAAATGCAAGAATTGAAGGATATCAAAGAATGCAAGAACTGAATGATTTTTCTACTACTTTCAACTCATCATTTACAGCCTATATATAGTTCCAAGTAAACAGTCAGTTACTCATTTGTTACAGCTACTAACAGATATTCAACAGCCTAACTGACTAATGCTAACAGACTAACATCTTAACTGCACAAACTCAATCAGCATCACCTATCAGCTGTGCACCACGAGCACACATATTCCAACATTCTCTCTACTTTCTCTCTTCTCCTGCTTCTTCAACACAACTTCACACATAATTTTTCTCGAAAATCTTCAAAGGTATTTCGAGCTAGTGGCTTGGTCAGGCCATCAGCAACCTGATGAGCAGCGGGCACGTAGTTAACTTGCATTTGCTTTGCTGCAACCTTCTCTCGCACAAAGTGGATGTCAAGGTCAACATGTTTGGTGTGTGCGTGGTAGACAGGGTTTGCACTCATGGCCACAGCGCTCGTGTTGTCACACCATATGGTAGGTTGTTCCTTTTGGCACACACCAAGTTCTGTAAGCAACGCACTAATCCAAACCACATCTACTGCAGTGTCAGCCACGCTTTTGTATTCTGCCTCCATTGTAGATCGCGAGACAGACTTTTGTTTCTTGGAGCTCCAAACGACCAAGTTGTTGCCAATAAAAACACTATGCCCGGACACCGATCTCCTATCATCAAGACTGCCTCCCCAGTCTGCATCGGCAAACGCAACAACTTTCACCCCAGCATCAGCAACAGTGAACACCAGACCAAGGTTTATCGTGCCTGCCAAGTAACGCAGGATCCGTTTTACTGCAACCATGTGTGACTGTCTTGGAGCATGCATATATTGGGCCACTTTATTCACACAAAATGCGATGTCCGGTCTCGTGTGAAAAATATAAAGCAGGCTTCCAACGATACTGCGATAGTTGTACACATCAGAAATGAGTTCTCCTTCATCACTGCGCAATTTAGTGGCTGCAACCATGGGGGTTGGTGTAGGTGTGGCTTTTAACATGTCTGTTTTTTCCAGCAGCTCAGTAATGAACTTCTTCTGTGTCAAGGCTAGATATTCATCTGTTCTCTTTACTTCGATGCCAAGAAAGTATGAAAGCTGTCCGAGATCCTTAAGTGAAAACTGATCACCCAACATTCGTACAACTTCATCTATCTCATTGCTCGAGTGGCCTGTGACGATTATGTCATCAACATACACCAGCAGATAGACATAGTTCATACCCTTCTTTTTGATGAACAGCGAGACATCAGCTCGTGACTCTTGGAACCCAATGCTCGACAAGTTTTCTCGAAGTTTGGTGTGCCAGCTTCTCGGTGCTTGTCTTAGGCCATAAAGCGCCTTCTTCAGTCGACAGACCAACTTGCTGCCATCAGGACATGTCTGTTCAAATCCTGGTGGCTGTTGCATGAAGACTACTTCTTGAAGCTCACCGTTCAAAAAGGCATTGTTGACATCCACTTGTCGAAGTGTCCAACCGTTAGTCACTGCTAGAGACAGAATGACATTCAGGGTAGTGAACTTAATCACAGGACTAAATGTATCTTTGAAATCGTACCCAGGAATTTGTGAGAATCCCTTAGCAACCAAACGTGCTTTGTAACGATGAACTGAACCATCGGGGTTCTTCTTGAGCCTGAACAACCACTTACAGCCAACCACTTTTCTTCCTTCTGGTAACTTGACTAAGTCCCAGGTTTCATTACGTTGCAACGCATTATAGTCTTCATATACAACACTCTTCCATTCTGAGACTTGAAGTGCTTCACGTACTGTGCATGGAACATGATCCATAACAGACCCTATGTATGCTTTGGGTTTATACACACCACACTTGCTCCGAGTTAGCATGGAGTGGGTGTTGCCACGAGGTTCTATAGACTGAACATTATGCTCGCCGACTTCATCATCAGTATGTTGATTTTCAGCGGATTCATTAATAGGTTGGCTGACAGTATCATCATATTCTTTTAGACTGTCAGATTGTTGTTCCGAATTGGCTTCATGATCATTGTTTCCACTGTTGGCATAAGTATCTATAATCAATTCATTTTCAGGCACGGATTCAACACTACCTTCCAAACCATGAGTTACATCTGCTGCTTGCCTGTTACCAGACGTATTTCTGTTTGTACTTGTAGGTTGTCTACTGAACTCATGTTGCTGAGTACTGAGTTTGGTAACATCAGTGACTACCTCAAGTGACTGAGAGTGTTTCAAATTCGATCTTGCCATGGAGCTCCTGTTGAAATCACCTGCAAAAGGAAACACATCCTCATTAAAGACCACATGTCTAGAGACATATACACGTCCATCTTTAGCTAAGCACTGAAATCCTTTGTGTTGCATGCTGTAACCAAGGAATGTGCACACTTGAGACCGAAACTCTAATTTGTGATGCAAGAATGGCCTTAGATGAGGGAAACATCTGCAACCAAATACTCTCAAGCCATTGTAATCTGGAGTCTTGCCATACATAACCTCAAAAGGTGACTTATCATTCAGCACTCTTGATGGCAACCTGTTAATCAAGTGGACTGTAGTCTGAACAGCATAGGACTAGAACTTAATAGGCATGGATGCCTGAGCAAGTAGAACAAGGGCCATTTCAACAATGTGCATGTGTTTCCGTTCAACTACACCATTTTGTTCGGAAGTGTGGGGACAAGTGATTCGATGAAGCACACCGGACTTGCTTAGTTCATCTGTCAATGGGCGAAACTCTCCTCCCCAATCGGTTTGAAGTGCCTTAACTACACTGTTGAACTGTGTAGCAACTAAATTTTGAAAAAGTTTGAACGCTGTTACAGCTTCAGCTTTGGACTTTAGCAGGTATAACCACGTAAATCGTGTAGCAGCATCAACAAACGATACATAGAACCGAAAGCCATTTGAGGACACGTGTGGGGGTCCCCATAGATCCGAGTAAACAAGTTTAAATGGTTCTGTGTAAGTAGTACTGGATTGAGGAAAAGGAAGCTTGTGGCTCTTACCTAAATGACAGGCCACACAATTTTTATTGATATCAAGAAGAGCTTTTACATCTATTCGGTTACAAATTTTAACAAACGTGTCATAGCCAGGATGTCCCAGCCTTCTATGCCAAGTTTCAGAAATGTTGGAGGATGCTATGGCAGTATGAACTTTGGCTTTATCACTTCCTCTTATTGTGCTGGCAGCTTTGAAGGAGTATAGACCACCACATTCTATACTATGCAGTAACACAGCCTTCGTGTCTTCATCTCTAACACAGCAGGTTTTAGCATGGAATTCAAGGAACACGTGGTTATCCCTAGCAAGCTTAGAAACAGAGAGCAGATTCTTAGTAATAGAGGGAACATGTAGAATATCACTTAAAGATAATGTGCATGAAGGGACTTGTAACTCAGCCTTGCCGACCTTACAGACAGTTAATGAATCACCATTCCCAACCATTAGCTTACCAGGATTATTGTAGTTGGTGTGTGAAGTAATAGTTGCTGCGTTAGGTGTAACGTGATGGGTCGCACCTGAGTCAATTACCTATTGTTCTTGATCAGCAGTATCGGAAAGCACCTGATTCTGCCTTGCACTTCCATTGCCATCTGGTATGTATTGTCATGATTACCACTGACTCCGTTGGCAGCATAATAAGCTTTAGAGCTTTCAGACCCTGAGACATGATTATCAAGTGTGATGCCAGTAAACTCTTCATCAAACCTATGCCAGCACTGACTTACAAGGTGTCCATTTTTGCCACACAACTGGCACTGCACCTTGGGTCGAGTTCTGCCCCTGCCACGAGATCTCCCTCGAGAGTTGGCCGAGTTGTTGACTCTGTATTGTTGTTTCTCACGATACGTGTTGGTGTTACTTTCTAGATTTCCCTGTGCAAGACTTGCACTAACAGGTAAAGGCTCATACTGATAATCGAAGACCTCAATTTGAGTTTCAGCATCGACAAGCATGGTACAGATGTTGTCAAGCGACAAAGAGTCACGCATAGCAGATATGACTGCAATGAAGGGCTGATATTCCCTTGTAAGGCCTTTAAGGATGCTAGCAACATGTTCAGATTCTGGAACTGGACTACCACAAGAAGATAATGCATCAATAACTTCTTTTATCTTGGTAAGGTAGACCCTCATGTTATCTCCTCCTTTCTTGAGGAACTGTAATTTGTAATGTAAACTCATTACTGCAGTAGCAGATCGGTTTGCAAAAAATTGTAGAACTTTATTCCACACTTGCGTCGACGTTTCAGCACCAACAAACTGAGGAAGCAGGTGAGGACTTACTGTAGATAATAACCAGGAAGCTAGCGCGCTATCTTGGGCCAAAAATTCTTCATACTCGTCATTGACAACCGTGATTCCTCCTTCTCCGGTCACAGTTTCTGGAGGGGGCAGCATTAGTCCAGTTAGCATCCGCTCAAGACGATGACTGCACACGGTGAGTAGCACTTGTTGCTTCCAAAGTAGGAAGTTTGACTCATCAAGAATCACATTCACCCTTTTGTTGGTGAATGCCTTGGTATTTCGGGTTGAGAACTCCATTGAAGTAGCTGTTGATGAGACACTTTGATCCATAGCACCACGAGCAGCGGAAACAGCCCCTAGGATACGGTGGCGAATGATACCATGTTGAACTTTCAAGATAGCTGAGCTATCAAAAAATGCAAGAACTGAAGGATATCAAAGAATGCAAGAACTGAATGATTTTTCTACTACTTTCAACTCATCATTTACAGCCTATATATATAGTTCCAAGTAAACAGTCAGTTACTCATTTGTTATAGCTACTAACAGATATTCAACAGCCTAACTGACTAATGCTAACAGACTAACATCTTAACTGCACAAACTCAATCAGCAGCACCTATCAGCTGTGCACCATGAGCACACATATTCCAACAAAGCTTGAGAAAAATCTCTTTCGACAACAAGTTGGCAGCTGCAGGTGAAGGGACCCTTGTCAAGAGCTCAATGAAGTTCTTCACCATTGGTGATTCCACCTTCACTGAAGATGAAATTAAGGAACAAATTCAAAGAATGGATGGAGTTTACAAGGCTGTTGAAGCTTACCTCTTGGCTAACCCCGATGTCTGCAACTAAGATTCTCATGTTTTCTTTTTCTTCTTCAAATTACCAATACTGTCTTTGCTATTTCCAATAACGGTGGCATGCTATGGTCACCGGGGTTTCCTCATCCTTATTTCTATTATACTTAAACACTTCGAGTTGTATCATCTTTCATCAAATAAAATAAACACATAAAATTGCAAATGAATTGGGTTCTACCTGCCTACAATGTTGAGATATATATTGAAAAAAAAGACTTTTCTTCATGAAATCTTTTGCTTTAAACTAGGACTGTTTTACACGAAATTCCAAGACATGAACCTAAAGTGGTGAGAGACCCGGTCCATAACTATATTCATACTATATTACCAGAAATATGCACACACTCAAGTGGATGTAAATAATTAGACCATAACTATATCCGTATATGGAATACTAACTCCTATTACAAAACCATAACTATATCCATAGTATATCGAATACTCACCTCTATTACAAAATCATGCACTCTTTAAGCATTTAAGAATTAGACCCTTCAGTTTTAAATTTAGCAATTTAACTGGTCTATTATTGTGATTTAAATTTAGGATTTTAGAAATTTAGGAAAGTAATCGGATGTTGTAGACATCAACTCACACTCATTTCTACACTAATCGAGAGGTGAAGACCAAAGATACACATATTCCATCTTTCGTATGAGGGTCACCATCACTTTGGAGGATATTTCACTCCAATTAACTCTCAATTGATGGAAATATTATCACCGATATGAGCTCTAATAATTAGGTTGCTTTGTGCTACAATTATCTTGAAAAGGTACCAAATGAGTTTAACGGTAGCTGAATCTCATTAACATGGTTACAACATAATTTTAAATATTTTGACAAATATTTTTTTCCGAAGAGGAAGCACAAGCATTCACACGTGCTTATATTTAACAGATCATAAAAGAGATTTTGATGTCTGACAAATTTCGCAACCAAGTACACACCATTGGGTTGCGTCTCCTCATAGATTTTGAAGAAGTCAACATGTTCAATTGAGGATCAATACTTTTAGCATTTCTCTTCATAGAAATTTGTAAAGTGACCGACACAAAGAAAAATGTTGTTGTTGGATACCTTATTTTTCTATAGCCCTCACTACAGCAAAAGTGTTCTGTAGCGGCGTTTTTAACGGCGTTTTAAGGGCAAACGTCACAAAATTTAAGCATACCGCGGCGTTTACTATCCAAACGCCACAAAATGATACTTTAGCGGCATTTTTTAAACAAATACCGTAATAGAGTGGTAATTTAGCGGCGTTTATAGCTAAAACGCCACAATATAGATGTTTATAGTGGCGTTTTTTCAACAAATGTCGCAATAGAGTGGTAATTTAGCGGTATTTTTACACAAACGCTGCGATAGTGTTGTTTATAATGGTGTTTGTTCAACAAACGACGCTATAGAGAAGTAATTTCGCGGCGTTTATCAAACAAACGACGCAATAGTATTGTTTATAGTGGCGTTGTGCAAAAAACGCCACAATAGAGTAATAATATAGCGACATTTGTCCTACAAACGCCACAATATGTTGTTTATTGTGGCGTTTATATTAAAATGCTGCAAAAATATGCATTACAGTGGCGTTTTTAAAAAAAATGCCACTAAAGGGTCAATATATGCTCTCCTGCCCAATCCCTAAAATCATTTCAACGCTACTTCCCTAAAAGGGATTTCTTTGGTACAACAACAGCCCTCACACGATTGCAGCCGATATCATCTTCTGTATGTCCTGGCGACCAAATTTGCCATCTCAGTAGCGAACAATTATCTCACGATTGCACGATTTTATCCCTTCTCTCACTACTAAACTTTTTTCATTTATTTTTTGTTGGTATTCTGAAAATGGGGAAAACCCAGAAAGCTAACGTAATGGAGAAATATAATAGCTTTCAAATAGGAAAAGAATATATATACATATTGTTTTACTGCTTGTGAGAAGTGTTTTTTTGCTTTCGAATAGAAAAATAATTGCTTTTGAAAACATGAACAAATGGTTGTGGTAAAAAGAGCAGGTGTTGCATTCAGTAAGAGAAATTATCGTCGGAATGTCCACGTGGTGTCTTTGCTCTGACGATGGATCAAATTATCGTTGGGAGGCTATCAGTTCGAACTTGCCGTCCAAACTCGATGATGACCCGAAATACCCTCCTATTGCAAAACACCCTTCCATGTCCGATCTCCTAAATGAAGATAATAATTAATCGCTGAAAGTTTGTGGCGCTAAATTTTTTTTACTATAAAATTTCATAGATTGCACGCATGTATGATGTTCAAAGCTTATTGAGAACAATGATAGAGGAGTTGATAAATACCCGATGTTTAGAACCGAATTTGGTAACTCTGTGGCGTTGAAAGAATCTTTAATAGCAAAAGCAATATCTATCATCAATGAAGAAGACGTTACCTCTACTGTTACTCCAAGTAAACCTTTATATCATCTTTTTTTTTAATGTTTGGTTATGTTTCCAAGCCACCTCCAATCAAGTTTCATATTTTAGGTGGAAGGTTGTTATCTATTTCAAGTGAAGCACTGAAGTGCACATGGAGTCTTCTTGGTGAACCGGAGGTAGGGGATTTATTTGGTGAAATGGATGAAAAGTTTCTCCATATAGAGTTTTCACGGAGGAAAAACTTAACGATGCGTCGTCAAACAAGGAAAACAACTTTTTTACGTCCTTTCCCCACGAAGGAGCAATGGAGACTAAATTCTAGTGAACAATATTGTTAAGACTGTTTATGCATAACTTTAATGTTGGAATGGATTTTAATGTATTTTGTTGTTAAGTAATTGTATGCATAACGTGTGCCTTAATTAAAATATATGGTTGTTGTTAATTACATTAAGCGTTATGATAGTAAATTAAGTTTATGTAGAGAAGAAATGAAATATTTAAAAACAATTAATCTTATATAAATAAAGGTAATTAGCGGCGTTTGTATAAAAAATGCCGCCATAAACCTAACTTTTGCGGCATTTATATCAAAAAACGCCGCAATATGTTCATCCATAGTGACGTTTTTCCAACAAACGTCGTTTCAAGGATAATGATTTAGCGGCATTTTTATATAAATGCCGTAATATAATAGAACTTTAGCGGCGTTGTTATTAAAATGTCGCTATAGAGGGTTACTTTAGTGGCATTTTTAAACAAAAACGCCGCTAAATATTTGGACATTAGTGGCGTTTTTATACAAACGCGACAATAGATTTAATATTTAGTGGCGTTTTTTAATAAACATCGAAATATAATAGAACTTTAGTGGCGTTTTTAAGAAAATGCCGCTATAGAGGCTTAAGTTAGTGGCGTTTTGAAATACAAACGCCACGCAACATTTGGATAGTAGTGGCGTTTTTTAAGTAAACGCATCGATAGAGTGCAACTATAGCAGCGTTTGGATTACAAACGCCTCAACTTTCAATAAAACCCCCAAATTTTGCGACTGAGCCCTAGCCCTATTCTCTTCATCGTATTATTCCCCAATCAGTTGCTCAGTTTCCTCCATCAACCCCCACATCGGTTCTCCACCATCGGCGATAGTCACAAAGGTAAGAACATCTTCCTTCACCATCGACCTTTTGGATCTTATTTCTTAATTTCTCCGCGTTATTCCTCCTTTGGTTTGATTTCTTCGCAGCATTTCGTTTTGATTCATTTTGATAGCACTAAATTTCTATTCCGATTTTCTGCTTATTTCTTCATTTTGATTCAATGGGCATTGTTCCTTTAATGCACTTTTAGAACCCATGTCCCGAAAAGTTGAATAATTTGATTTAATTAAAGCACCGTGCACACTAGGTTTTTGTATTTTCTACAATTTGTCCATTGTTTAAAATATTTTCTGCAATTCGTCTTTATTGCAGAGGAATTACTCTACATTTCCATTGAAGAGTTTGGTAAAAATAGTGTTAATCAGGGTTGGACATTCTTTAAGGGTATATTCATTATCACTCTGCATTTTTTCCTTTTTTGTATATTCATATGTGTTTTGAGTTAAATGTGTTTTATTAGTAGTATCATTAATCTAATTCAATCAAAGCTGGAGAATATTACCTTGATGAAAATTGAATAGAACAATATGGAGAAGATTAAAATATGAAAGAAGAGAGATAGGAAAACTCTAGGAAGCTATACTATTATTTTAATTTCATGAGATCATTTCTGAACTAAAAACACTGCTTCGTTGTAGACTATACTAAGCACTAACATACAACCAACAAATCAAAAACTAATGTTTACTACTTGTGTATTATACCTTGAAGAACGAATGTTGGAATCTTATGATGACGGTGCTCCACGAACATATCAAGTTTACTAGCCTGTGAAAGAAAATATCTGAACACTAAACTTCACAAAGGTTAATAGTACATCGCTAATGCAATGTACAAATCATGAATGTAAAAAACATAAGCATACTAACAGAGTATACGGTGAGCAGTAGATGTATGGTTCATAATTAAAGACATGCCATGCTTATCATCGTCAATATAAGTCTTATGTTTTTCTTAGATCGCAACTAAGGGCCCAATCATAAACTATCATAACAAATAACTAGCAAGGAAATAATATATCAATATCATATTGTCTTTGAATCTCATCAAGCATCGAGTATGTATATATATGTATGATATCGTATATTTGTGGAGACCTCACCATTAAGGTCATAATAGTATACACGTATGTATGTTATCATCTCATCAATAAGGTCGCATCTGTGTTATATCAGGTGTCTATATTATTTTTCTGATTGCCACTAAGGTCCCAACGATATAACATTCAGTTACCACTTTGGCAACGATTCGATATGCTAAGTATGTATAATATAATAATTGTCACTAAGACCACATAAGTATTTATGCTTGCACCACTAAGGTCACATAAGTATTTATGCTTACGCCACCATGATCAATAATAAGACCCCTATGTCATTAAGCTCACTCATTAAGGTCCTAAGCCCATATACTCATTCTTGTGTTAGGCCAACCCTAGGTTTGCCACTTAGTTTGATAAGGACATCACTAAAGTTTTATTATTTTAATGGTATTTTCAATAATTCAGGAGTTAATACCTCTTATTAAATTTGATTGAACATCTATACTCATGTCCTTACTCAACAAGGCCCATAGCTTAAAATTGTCAGTTGGAATCGATACTCTACTTAAATATTTATACCAAACTCTTGGTTCAGGGCGGATGTACATGGCTCCATAGAGGATCCATTGCACACCTATTATTTTGAGAAAAAAGTGTTAAATTTAGTTTAGTTTACTAATGGGAATAGGAAAAAATAAAAAAAAAATTGCACACCCTAATTTTTTTTAGAGTCTAGTGTTTTCTATTGTAAAGTCTTTACTTTGATTATGTATAATGCTTATGATTTCATCTCTATTATGGTGCATTCCCCTTATGTATTCTCTTATTCCGTCCATACCAGAGTACCTAAATGCATACTAGAACTTCTGCATGTTTACTACTTGTGTGATTTTCAAAAATTCAACTCAACTATTATTTAAAGCTCCATTGATTGTTGTGCTCTGGCATTGGATAATTCAATTTTTGCCATACCCCAAAGTTGCTTAAACAAGACTACTTTAAGTTATCGTTATCTTCCCTTCTTAGCAATATTTCTCATCATTGAGTAATTCTTTTCTTCTTCTTTTTCCGACATGATTTGTTCTGCCGGTAAAGAGTGAAGACAATTTCATCATTTTTGACACTAGGTATTTTCTTTTCCTGAAAATTTATTGTTTGGTTCGAGTTAGGATTTACTGTCGGAAAAAAAGTTAAATGAACTGAAGCCTTTTGGGATTAATTATATTGTTTTATGTTGAATTCATGATTCAGGATGATGAGTTATTCAATATATATATTGTTTTACAATTGAGAGGAAAATTGTAGCACAAAACATTGCAGAACAGCGACAAGGGTAGACATCTAGAATAGGTTAAGGTCCGTAGGGATGCTTATTGTACGGACTTAATATAATTTATAAATCAAAGGCTTAATATAAGATTAAGAATTCAAAATATACATTTTCTTAATTAGTTGCCAAAATTATATTTCGGTCAATTTATATATCTAATGTTATAAATATTATCATTTTAAGTATTATGATCACAACGATCGTTAGAAAATTTTATGAAGTTATAAATACGTATCGTTAGAAGAACATTCATTAATCTAATTCAATCAGAGTAATTAGTATCATTAATAATAAACGTAATATTAAAAATATCATGCACATCCATTTTGTTTTACTTCTTATAGTAGTTTTCTACTTCTATATACACATAATTTGAAAACCTTATCACTTTGCTTTGCATGCATGACACTAAATATTTGAATAACTAGTACATGATATATTAGATGTATACAATAATTAATTTAAAGATTTAGATATAGTTAACAGTGAAGAAAGACCCCTAGAAATTACTAAATAGAATTGGCCCATGACTTGAAACAAAAATATTTGTTTGAACATTGATGTGTACTTAAAATCTGTTTAACCATTAGTTAAGGATTACTTTATTAGGTTTAACCTCGAACTTGATAGTTTTTTCTAACTTGATAGTTTGTAATATAATATCATATAATATACAATAGATACATTTAGATTATCTTTATATTTTAATAGTTTAAATAGTTAATATTGTTAATTAATTTTATTAAAATGCTACTGTAATTTTTTTTTCTTCTTAAAATTACTAATTTTAATATAAAATTATATGATAATATAATGAATTACGTTGATATGTAATGGATGGAATGATAATGATATTGCTACAAGAAAAAACGCTAACCTAAACCTAAGTTGTCCCCTTCTTTTGAAAATATTAATATGCAAATATTAGAAGTCATTAGTTCTATACCATGCTAATATTATTATGCACTAAATCTGATGGTTAATGCTTCCATTTAGGTTCTAAATTTATCTATAATATTATCAATTAATATTTGAAATTGAAACTCCAGAAATACAAAATGGATAAGAGTTGGATGGATTTCTCAAGGGTAAGCGTCGAATATCGAAATGGAGTCGAAAACTTTCTAAATTTAGCTTTTCTGAATGCAAGCCAAGAGAATATGATTCTTTGCCCTTGTAAAAATTGTGTGAACATTAATTGGCACATTCGTGAAGTTGTGTACGAGCATCAAGTTGTTTTTGGATTTGTTCTGGGGTATAGAAAATGGATCTTTCATGGAGAGTTTGTATCAGATAGATCTGCATCCACGAGTTATTCGACTTATCCTTCTTCTTCTCACCATCCAACTTTTAGAGAAGATGACATGGAAGGGATGTTACGAGATGCATTTAATATGCACACTCATCAGCCGTATGTAACAGAAAATTATTGTCAGAATGATGTTAATGATTTCATTGAGATGGGAAGAATTGGAAGTGATGAAGAGCCAAATGGAGAAGCGGCAAAGTTTTACAAGTTGTTGAATGAAATGAATGAACAACTTTATGAGGGATCAGAGTTTTCAAAGCTTTCTTTCTGCATTCGTTTTTTCCACTTAAAATGTCTGGAAGGGTGGACTGGTAACTCCTTTACACAATTGTTGGAGTTACTGGGAGAAGTGTTTCCTTTTGCAAAAATCCCTCAATCATGCAAAGATATGAAGAAAATGATAAAAGATTTGGGTCTTGGATATCACAAAATTCATAGTTGTCCGAATGATTGTATGTTGTATTGGGGTGATAGAAAAAATCTGGATTCTTGTCATGTATGCGGAAAATCTCGATGGATGATTAGGGAGGCAGAAAATGTTACTGAGGATGAAGTTCAAGCACGATCAAGAAAGAAACCGGTCAAGATCCTGCGATATTTTCCTCTCATACCTAGGCTACAAAGATTGTTTATGTCCTCCAAGACTATTGTGTCTATGAGGTGGCATCATGATGGCAGAACCGATGATGGATTATTACGGCATCCTGCGGATTCTTTAGCTTGGAAGTCATTTGACAAAAAGTATCTAACTTTTGCGATAGATCCTCGAAATGTCAGGCTCGGTCTTGCAACTAATGGGTTTAATCCATTCAAAATCATGAGTACTTCGTATAGTACATGGCATGTTGTCTTGTTCCATACAATTTGCCTCCTTGGATTTGCATGAAACAATCATCTTTCATCTTATCCATGATAATCCCCAGTGAGAAAGGCCCCATAAATGATATTGATATTTACATGCAGCCACTAATTACAGAGTTGAAATAGTTATGGGAAGGGGTCGAAACGTACGATGTGTTGATGAAGGAGAACTTTAATTTACGCGCAACGTTATTATGGACAATTAATGATTTTCCTCCGTATGCAAATTTATCTGGTTGGAGTACCAAAGATCGTTATGCTTGTCCTTGTTGTGCTGCACAAACATGTTCGAAATGGTTGGTTAATGGAAAGAAGTTCTCTTATATGGGACATCGTCGGTGGTTATCTGATAATCAACAAATGGCTTACATGAAAGCGGAAAATGAAGTAAGGGAAGCAGCTGCAGCACAGAGAGAAGCAACATATCAGCAGAGATGTGAAGAATTTGAAAAACGACTCAATGATATGATGCAGATGCTACATAAAACTCAACCTCAAAATCCACCATCATAGTCTCATTTATGTTATTAGCATTCTGTTAATGTTACTGAACCGTGTTTAACTGAACTTATATTACGTTAATGAAAAATTTTATTTATTATATTAGATTTGATGTTGCTCGTTATTGATATAGAGTTTGATGTTATTGTTGTTATGTTTGTTGGATAATGAAACAGGTTGAAAAAATAGATTTGGGGTAATCGACAATAATTTTTTAATTGGTTAAATTATGTGTTATTTAGCGGCGTTTGTAACAAAAATGCCGCAATATGTCACATATTTAGTGGCGTTTGTATATAAAAAACGCCGCTAAATATTAACACCTATTGCAGCGTTTGTATTAAAAAACGCCGCTATATAGCAGACCTATCGCGGCGTTTGTATCCTAAAAATGTCGCTATATACCTGACCTATCATGACGTTTGTATCCTAAAAACGCCGCTATATTCCAGTCCTATAGCGACATTTGTACCCTAAAAACATCGCTAAATACCAGACCTATTACGGCATTTTCATAAAAAAAATGCCTCGAAATATCAACACTTAAACAAACGCTGCTATATATCGTTACCTATTGCGGCGTTTTTGGTTAACAAACGCCATAAACTTTAGCGGAGCTATTTTCAGCGGAGTATTTTGCGGCGTTTTTCATAACGCCGCATGTATTTTTTGCGGCGCTTAAAAACGTTGCTATAGGTAAAAAAAACCCTCAAAAAGCCAGTTTTATTGTAGTGCCTAGACGTGGTATCACATGTTTTTTTATGTTTACATATCAACCAACCATTTTTATTTCATTTCCTACTAAGGGAATTTGAATTCTTAAATTTACCTATAATTAAGTTTATTTTTATTATAGTTAACTAATTTTTTTATATTAAATAGATGGTCGTCAATTAAAAATAATCATGAAATCCCTAATGAGTTTCGAGATATTAGGATATTGATCGAGAAAAAATAATTTTAAATGTATGTTTTTAATTATTAAATTTTTAATTTTATTATCGTCTTAATTACAATTTTATCTATAAATTTACATGTTAGTAATATTTTTTTTGTAGTTTCAATGGACGTCTTATGTTAATATAGAATTGAAGGCTTACATCTTACTGTAGCTTAGTACTTCATTGGATGTACAACATCGAAGTAAAATTTGATATCGATACTCATGACAGTATCGATACTCTAATATAAAAGTATTGATATTCAGTCCAGGAGTATCGATACTAACCTCCCTTCTTAGCGTATAATAGTCATTTTAGTATCGATACCAAATGGTGGGTATCGATACTCAAGGGTCAGTACCGATATCGAAGAGCTCGGTATCAATACCAGCGTACGATTTTGGATAAAGAATCTAAATGGTTTAAGGAATTAGACTTGAGGAGCCCAATAACACTAGAATAGTCTTTATAACACATTTTTTCCTACTTTTATGGTATGTTTTTGTTTGTCTTTTGACATGTTTTTGATCGTTTAACTATTTTTGTCTGGAAAAAAATGAATTCTGATGTAATTTAGAGAACTCAATGGAGAGAATTCAAAACTCAACCCATTTCAATTCCATATGCAAGCATTGGATTCTGATGTAGTTTAGAACCCAATTGAAATTATTAATACGAGAATACAGTTCATAGTGTTTCCAAACAACAATCAATCATTATGCTAGATTGTGTTTTGATTGCCAATGAAATTATCGATTCGGAAAAGAAGAATGGTCATTCGGGAGTGGTTTTCAAAACCGATTTCAGAAAGGCATATGATATCGTAGATTGAGGATTCCTTATGAGAGTCATGGAGGAGATGGGCTTCGGGGTGACATGGCGAAAATGGATAATAGCGTGTATTTTTTTGACTTCCATATCAATTCTGGTTTAATGGGTCTCCGACCAATATGTTTAATCTTGTTAGAGGACTTCCGTAAGGCTGCTCGTTATCACCGTTCTTAGCTTAATGTTAAAGGAAGCAGTCAAGGCGGGTCTGATTACGAGTTGCGCAGTTGGGAGAAGACCCTCGGAAGTTGTGGTGTCTCATCTGAAAAAATGTACAGTTTTGGGCATTAACACAGGAACATGGGAGGTTAGCCGGTGGGCATCGAGTATAGGGTGTCCGACAGGTTCGTTTCCTACATCCTACTTTGGCCTTCCTCTTGGGGCAGCAAGAAGTTCAGCCCAGCTGTGGGAACCGGTGATTGATAAAGTGGAAAATCGACTCGCTTGATGGAAATAAATTTCTTTAAGTTTTGGCAGTCCAGTTTCGCTGATTAAAGTTGTCATCTCCAATCTTCTGTCTTATTTCCTATCCCTGTTCAAGCTTCCAGTTTCTGTTTACAAAAGACTCAACAGCTTATTCTCAAGGTTCTTATGGGGTGGTTCGGAAACAAATAAGATAATCCATTGGCTCAGGTGGGGAGAAGTGTGCAAGTCGATGGAGGCAGGTGGGTTAGGCTTCATTGATCTTAGAAAAAATGTGGTCTTTTTGGCAAGTGGTGTTGGAGGTTCTACCATGAAGACTCAAGCCCTTGGAAACTGGTTGCGGTTGCAAAGTAGGAGAATTTTATCTATTTTCATTGGTGAGGGAGCGGAGCGTAATCTTAAAGATCTATTTCAGCTGCAAGTAGGAGACGGTAAAAAGATTAGGTTCTTGCAGGATAGAAGGCTTGGAAATCGGCCCCTACGAGAGTCATTCCCAAGGATTTTTGCTCTCGCAGTTGATAAAGATGGATTGATATCTGACTTTGGGCAACATAGCGAGTCGAGGTGGACTTTGAGCATTCGGCTTAGAAGGGATCCATTTGATTGGGGAAATATTCAATGGGGGGGATTTTGGCATTAACTCAACAATTTCGTTGGCTCGGATTCTCAGTCGGATTGGGTTAAGTGGCTGTGGGCGAGTGA